ACACGCTCTCCAGCGATTATGTTACTGCTTTCGGAATCGAATTGGTAAGGGTAGTCGAGGATGCAGTAGCTACTTCTAGTAAATTTCACCATTACCTTTGAAAGAATCGAGCCTTCACCTTACTCTCGAATTTTTGGACCCTCCAGACCAAGCTGAACCGAGGAGCAACTGAAAGCTTTCAAGAGCCTCTCTATGTTCCTAACTTTAAAACGAAAAGCTTGGAGTGGCAAGTTCTTCACCCATTCTGTTCTTGGCCACAAATTCCAATTTCCGACGGGAACGTTAGGGAATTTAAGCTAGCATTCGCAAAACTTAGGGATCGCTCCCCTTCCGTATATCCTAATAGAAATATGTCTTCGCAGTTCTGAATTCGATCTAGTCAGCCGTCAGCAAGATGAAACTGCTCAGAGTTGATCAGGTCCCTTTTCAGAACCACCATTTCATCCTACCCTTACCCTTCAGGCAGTGGCGTTTTGAATGTGTGTGGCCTATACGGTGACTTGCAATGGCTAGCCATTTTTCGAGTCAGTATTGTCGCCTTGCTAAATAGGTATAGTACTAGCTGAATCCCAGAGAAATAGTTGCCTCTAATGTCGACCCAAGATTCGATTTCATATGCGCTGTTGCAACGACATTCAGCACTACCCCATCTGCCCCTGATCACTAATAGTAGAGCAGTGCATTATTCCTTCTGTCCGATTCCTTTCCATTCCGTCAGCTCTCAACTTTCGTCAGTCACGTCTCTTTCATAGAATCTGGAGGGCTCGCCATCATTCGAATGAACGATAAACATGAGAATCTCAGGAATTTATGTTTGACGCAAGTGTTGAAGTCGTTGCGAAAGAATTTAATAGTTCCTGCCTTCACAGAAATTCATATTCTCGCCACGAAAAAGGGTGACGGTCGATATTGTGGCGAGAAACTTTGCTTAGGGATGCCCTATCGGGATGGGGATCCAATTTGAGTAAGTCTTGACTCATTTGATCATCTTCATTGCTCTTTTATGGGAACTCTTCCAGGCAAAAAGGCAGGTGTGCGAGGCACACACCTAACAAGGGAACGAGCCTGATATTTCTGCTGTAACATGACAACATCTACAAGGTGCGGCAAAAGATCTGGCAACAGTAAACATGTCTCTAAAAACGGTCAAATCGATCGATACAGTATACAACTTGAACAGCATTTATCAACAGCCATATACATAGATCACAAAAGCAAAGTACATCCCGAAATTGCCCCCTTCTGCGAGAATACAGGTTGGAATCTCCTAGGAAACGCGTCAACGGCGGCAAGGAGGTGGTTTCTGTCCAAATCTTTTCTTTTTTGTCTTTTCTAACCCCTTTTCCTCTGAGTTTTTTCTGTTTTCATAGGAGCGAAGTCGAAGGTGGTTGGTGACAATCCTCCCAACAGATCGAGCAGAAATACCCAACTCACGAGCCATTTTTCTCTCGGACCTACAAGGTTGGCGGCGGATTTTCTCTCGAATGATTTTCACGATCTTCTTTGTCGTTGCACTCTTCGGTCTCCCACTTCTAGGCTTGTCCTCCATAGTTCCTGTCGCCTTGTACCTGTTAACGTTGTTGTACACGGTCCTTAAGGGAATCTGGAGCTGCTTGGAGATGGTCTTTGCAGTGCATCCAGCCAGATGGAGGTGCAGGATGGAGGCTCGTTGGTCTTTGCTTGTCACCATTCTGTAAAATGGCATATGTAAGAACGACCAATTCATGGAATGTATAGAAGACTTGCAGTAAATACTGGCACAGATCCTGTCAAGATCGAAGGCCTCATTTCTTATGGAGGGCCTGGAATGGGATTTTGCCAGATCTTTTGCAGCGCTATGAAATATTCTGCGCTGGACCCTCAGCCATAAATCCTCTTAGATTCGAGTTTTTATTGAGAATCTTGGTGGCTGAATAAAGCTGAATGACTGTACACTACAACAGCTACAATCAGGGAGGTCAACAAAGCGCAGGGTAATCCGAGTAAGATTAAGAGTGTAGGTATGCCTGCACACAGAATGTCACGAGTTCGATCCCACCAAGGGAAAACCATGCCCTACCAATATTGAAAAAATGATGCTGATATTAAGGACAGACCCGGGTTGATAAGACCTCAGTCACGTTTCTGAACAAGATCAGTGCCACCTGTCCAATTCCGAAGAGGCATTGAGCCTGGATGGTCTGGACTGTACGAGAATCGATAGGAATCAACAGAGCTTAGTATCGCTGCTTATCCTCATCTGAAGGACTTCAAAGGAATATGGCTTATATAATCGAAATTCTCGCAGGTCCACATAGTCGAGCAGTGTCAGGCCCTCCTGCCCTAACATTCCCTCCTTCATGTCATTTTTCACCCACTAAAAGGGTAGACTTTCTCTTCTATCCTTCTAGTTGCTTTTCGCTCAATTCATTTTGCTTCAAAAGAAGATATTCCCCACACCTGAATCAATAAGGAGTCAGCGAAGCATCCTGCTGGCTTGACCGGACACACCCGCCACGGTTTTCAACCCTTTGCTATGAAGGGGACATTATTCGGGAAGATAAAGCTTAGAGAAAGGAACACCTCGCAGCATCCGGAATGGAAGCCCCTTGTCCAAGAAGTTATTCGGGTTGCTTACACAGCCTACC